GCAGCGTAGGGAGCCAGGGCTGGGCTGAGACAGCTGCTTCTGCTGGCACCGGACACGCACCAAGCGCAGGGAGTGGGGAGCGACGCGCCACATGGTCCAACTGCTTCTTGCCTTCCCAGCAGCCGCACTAGGGCTGGGGCTTCTACAAATACTGCTTCTCACACACATGCAAGGGGAGGGCCCACGCTCTGTCAGCGAGGCGTCAGAGGCTGCCTGGAGCCTGTAACCATAGCTGCAGTCCTGGCAGAGCCTGCAGCAGGGTGGGCTAAGCCTGGCGAATCTTCTGCTATTGCGGGAGCATCTCTGAAGGGCAGCAACACAGCCCAAGGCCTGGTGCCTCACTGCTGCACAGGGTGCATCTTGTCATCCCATCAGATAAGCTCTGGCAAACTTCCCAAAGGCAAGTGTCAACTCATGACGGGGTCTTAGGAATAACTCCCTGCAGGCTGCTGGTTATTAGCCTGACAGGAACAGACTGAGAGGGAGGTGCAGCGGCAGTCCCCCTCCCCATCCCTCAGCTTATCTTACAGTCGCTACCTTTCTTGCCCCAAACACAGTCAAGCTTCAGGCTCCCTATGGAAAATGAGAGGTTTTTGCTGCCTGCAAACTTCAGGGAATTGGCACCCCAGCCTGGGAGTGCTTCAGCAGCTTCCTCAGGCTGACCTCATGGGCTGATGCTCCTGAGAGCCCAGGCTCACGATGGGGTCCCGAACGCAATGGGACATTGTCACTGAGGAGCTTATGCTGTACAGGGGCAGAGGGATGACCCCACACATGACCAACCGTGGGGGCTGCAGCCATCTTCATGAGGGACTGGCCCCCTCAGACGGACTGGCGGGGTGTGAGCTGTTGTGGATGTGAAGGAGTTTCTCAGCGGAGAGGAAACCTCACCAAGCTGGCACTGCAGGCCTAGCATCTCCTGGGCCTTTGCAGTCTTGTGACTCTTGCAAGACACTGTTAACTGATGCGCCCATGGGCCAGTGGGCCAGCTCAGGACCTTGCCTCCCTCACTCCTGATGTATCTGCTTACTTCAACCAGGGAGAGTAACTTACTGGCATCAACAGCAGGGCCATGATGCGACCTAGCCCTGTGGGCAACATGGGTTACAAAATGTGCCAGGTGGGAAAGACTAATGGCCCCTGACTGAGCTCACCCAAGGCAGAAATGAAGAAAGGGCTGTAAAAAATGCAGACCTCACCTGCCAGCTTGGCAGCTTATCCCAGGGCACTGAGCTGGCGGGAAAGGAGCCAAGAATCACCCCAGATCAGCTAGTTGCTCAGGGCAGCAGGAGACACTGCCACAAAGAGGGGCACTTGTCCCCCAGGATCCCGAGGGGGTAAGGACTTGCCTTGGTAGTGGGTGCAGAGGTGGCGACAGTGTGGGTGTCACAGGGAGGCTACAAAGCAGCTGTTGTGACTCTGGCAGCACGAGATGGGGCTTCAGGGGCAGGAGTGGGAGCAAAGCCCAAGCCCAGGAAGCCGGGTCAGCTCAGGTCTAGCCTTGCTTCATGTCCTCTTGCTGCATGCTCCTCCACACGGTTGGCAGGAGGTGTATGTGCAGCAGATCACATATCTACAATGAACTGGCTTAGAAATGAGTGGAAAGACACGAGGGAATGCTCAGCATCATCCTCCTTTGCAGTACCAGTAGTTGGAGTTATTGGGCAGAGTCTCAGCAGTCTTCTTTTCTCTGTGGAGATTGCTCTGTCCCTCCTGAAAGCTCAGGTGCAAAATAACTGGCAGGACACTCAGCATCAGAAAGTCAACAACATCTGAGCAAGATGAAAATCCATCTTAGTGCTAGTAACTGGCAATTTTTTTCAGCATTGTGCTTAAGGCCTGCTGACAGAGACGATCTGTAGTGGAGGTGATGCGCCTTGTTTTCTCTTTCCCACCCCCAGAACCAGCCCTGGATCACCACTTGGCCTATTCAGTGGGCAGTGGTGGAACATGGATTAAAAAAGGTGCTGAGTGGGGAAAGGCCTGGGAGCATCATTCAGCACTCATTCTGTCTTATCAATTCTTAACTCTTATACAGTTTTCTCACCCTAAATGCAAAGTAGCCTATATACTACATCCATTTTGGAGATCTTTGTATGACATAGAATGGCTTCCTGAATGACCAGGCTCTCTTGAATTATCAGCCAGAGCACGTCCTCCTAAAGAGGGCATGAACATCAGGCACAGAAAACCTTTTAGGGAGAAGAGCTAATTCCCAGTAGCATGGGAGCTCTTAATAAAAAACAGTGTCGTCCATTTTCTACTATCCTGTATTGTACACTTCTGCAGCCCAGCATGTAGTCACGCTATGGTGAAACAGCCCCATGCTGACCTTGGAAGATGCCAGTGGCTGCCTGTAGCCTGTAGCCTTAGCAGGGTGGGCTAAGCCTAGAGAGTCCTCTGGTATCATGGGAGCATCTCCGAAGGGCAGCAGCTCTTCCCAAGCCTTGATGGCCCACTGCTGCATGGGGTGGACCTCCCAAGTGTGTCAAACAAGTTTCCAGGGTGCAAAGTCATGACAGGATCTTAGAAACAACTCCCTGCAGCCTGCTGGTTGTTATCCTGACAGGAACAGACTCAGAGGAAGATGCAGCTGCAGTCCCTCTCCTCATCTTCTCTCGTCACTGCCTTTCCTCCCCCAAACTTGGTCACACTACAGGCTGCCTATGGAAAAGGAGACCTAAATTAGTACATGTGGATAATTTACAGCAACCACAAAGGTTGCTTATGTATGGGGAGATTATAGAAATATGGCAAGCACAGACACTTGTTGAGATCTCTCTAAGCACTAAGGATATACCCAGGTACCTGGCAATTTTATGTGGGCAAGGAGTGATTGTGATATATACTTTCTGCGGCTTACTTTCCTTGAAAGTAAAGAACGTACACTCAGTGATAACAAGGAAAATACGAACCTGACTTTTCTCTCTGCTGTGGGTGTGCAAACCCTTGAATGTTTGTTAGGGGATTTTACTGGTACAGCTGTGAGTATGATTTGACTTGACAAATGTGAAAGAATCCGTGAAATTGAGTCCTATGCCCTGGACATTGTTTGCCTTTCAACTATTTGTTGAAAAAAGCCTGGGTGTTTTGCTAGGACATCCATTGAGCTAGAGCTCACCAGGAGCTCACCACCCACAACGCTGCCTCTTTAATGCAGGGCCGCCAGTGATTGAGGGCAATGGGAGAAAGGGAAGGTCAGTGCAGAGCCCCGCTCCAGTCTGGAAGCTGCTCCTTGTATATGATATCTTTGCTACGCCACCCATATGCATAGATTTCCTACCACCACTGGGAGGACCACTGCAATAAATTTGGCAGATGTCTCACAACGATGTCTCACAACAGATGTCTCACAACACTTCTTTTTTTTTTTGGTATGAAGTGGTTCAAGTGGAATCCCCCACCAGGATCAGTCCAAGACTGTTTCACCAAAATGATTGATGATAAAGTGTAGGAAACTCACACACATTTACCTCTTCTGATTAAATGGATCGTGAATCATTAAATGTGACTTGAGAAATGAAGTTAGAGAGAAATCCATTCCTGGCACATTCTATTGGGAGAAAAAAGAAAGAGTGAAAAAAAAAGGAGAGAGAGAAAAAAAAGAAAGCAGAGAGCGAACAGCTTAGTTAGGTAAAGATCAAGTTCCTGTGAGAAAAAAAAAAGGGGGGGGGCTTCCATCAATTTTATGCAACTGTTGGATCACTTTACAGCATGGTCCAGGAAGGGCACACAAAACACTATCACATGGCCAGCCCATTTCTTTTGAACTAACCAGAGTGTATAATATAGTACATTTGATGGCTGATGCCTTCCTAGTGTCCATAATTGACTTCCAGTGACCCTCACCTCTTCCTGGGGCCTGGCTTGAGCTTTGTGCCTGGCTCTCACTTTTGCATTGGCCCCAGGTTGTCATTCCCACTGGTGTGGAGATGACTGACAACAGAGCTGGAGGACATTAAAGACGGAGAAGCTCTGGCATGAGTAGAGGCTTAGTAGGGCCCCACCCTGACTTTGACTCGGGAGAGTGATCCAAGTAGGCACCATCATAAGCCAAGAGGGATGAACAAAGAGGGTTTGTGTCTGATGTGTGGTAGAGCACGGCCTTGTCAACACAGAGGGGCTCCTGTACCACCTGTACTGCTCTCCTACTCCGCCTTCACTGTTGGGTGTCTTGACATCTGATTTAGCAAAGACCTCGGGCCGCTGGGCAATGTAAAAACACCTTTCTGTCTCCTGGCCTGGCATGTGGGAGCCTGTTGTGCTAGTGTACAGTCTTTACCACCATCTGCAGCTCTAAAGCTTGCTTTTATCTGGTTCATATCTTTATCCTTTCACAACACAGGTTGCACCATTCTTTGTGATATTTATATCACTTCACAGGTGCATTTTGATAACAGGTGCTTTTATAATCATATCTGTTCTGGAAAGAACACCTTCTAATTTTATACCTGCTCCATTGTGATATCACCTGTGGCTTCTGGAGCAGTTTTGCCTGATCTTTACTCCATGTTCTAAATTTAAGAACTTAAAGAAGAGAATGGGTTTTGCATTGCATGAATTTTCAAGGATGTTGCTAAAATATTATAAATAACAAAGGTTATGACATGCTTTTAAAATAACAGTAGTAAGTCTGGTCATTTAGACACAGTTATTGTCTCCTTATAACAGATTTAATCTGTTTGCAACATATGCTAAGCCTCATTAAAAATTTAATTAATGTAGAAAATGTTGAGTAAGCCTTGAATAGAGTGATATAAAAGATTTTAAAAGACTCCTACAAAATGAAGTCTGAATAAATAAATCAAAAACAAAAAGGCTGATATTTAAAGGGAGAGCATTATTAAAAAACAAAAGCCAGGCCAATATGCTGCACAAGAAACAGAGAGGACATTTGACAGAACTCAAGTGCCCCCAAGTTGCCAGGCAACTTCTGTAAACACAGGACAAGCACTGGAATACCAACGGAGCACTGAAATCCGTACTCTGAAATTAAGTGCATCGTGTGCCTGTTAAAACAAGATCAAGATTTTAGGAGCCACATCAAAAAGGTAACTGCCCTAATTCCTAAGGTAAAACCTAAAGGTAAGCCTGTCCTAATTCACAGCTGACTAATAGGTTGACTAATAGGTGTCTTCATCGCCCGCTAATTATATGCTGTCCTCACTGTTCAGTGGCTGTTGCCAGTCTTGCTACAGGGGTAATTTATGCAAAGTGGTGTCTCCCCATACGGTGCAGTCTTGAAATAGGACGTTGAAAAACAGACACAAAATGTCCCAGTTTAAAAAGGCAGAAACTGATCATAGTTCCCTTTTCTCTTTCTGAAGGAACGGAACTGAACTTCCTCGTTATGCTCTCTGATCCGTAGGATTTCAGCCTCATGCAATAACTGATAAAGCTCTTCAGTCTGATCACTATGTTTTAAAGGGTTTATTAGCAGCAGCGGCAGCAACAGCATTGAGGTTGCTTCACCTCATGTGGCAGGATGAAGACTTCGACGTTTCAGAGCAATCGTCGCTCAGTTGCTGAGGAGTGTGGAGTGTTGGCTGAGTGCTTGCAAGGCCCAGCTGTGGCCTTGCAGAGCACAGACACCACCCAGACCTCGCAAGACTTCAGCTGCTCTGAGCAACATCAGTTGCATTACCTGAGAAAGTACCTCAGGCACATAGCTGAAAGCCTGAGTTTCTCCAAGGATGTACTGGAGCAACGAGGACTGTCCTATAAGGAGTACAACTTCAAACACCTCTATGATCCTTCTGATATCATTCAAAAGTCCAAAAATGAAAAGCCCATTGCTGTGGACTTCAAGCGCTCAGCCAGACCCCACCCTCAGAAGCAACTACTTTTCCCTAAGAAAAATGCTGGACTTTTCCCAAAGCTCAGGAAGGAGGACAGCCTGTGGGGCTCCAAAGCAGAAACCTTGCCCAGAAGGGTTTTACCACCTGTTCCTTCTTGTAGGACCCCAGGCGCGCAGGCATCCCCAACAAAGCCTTGTGACAAGTTATCTGGCTCTCTGACAAGAAGACAGAAAAAGTGGGTCTCTGAGAAGAACACCCCAGGATCAGAGATGACGACCCAGGAAATGGAGAAAATAGGACTGGAGAAACTGGGCAGGACAGCACCCCAATGGACTGTGGATCAGCAGAGACCCAGGAGTGACTCTGTTCCATGTAAACCTGTTGACGGTGAAAAACAGAAGTGGAATGCAGTCAGGGATGAGCTTTCTTCCGATGGAGATTTGAAAATATTGGATAATGCTCAGGGCGAAGAAAATGACATGGGAATCATATCCCAGACACAAGCTGAGAAGACTCCTGGAGCAGTCTTCCCCACCTCCAGCAGGTATGGAGGACACATCTTATTTCCTAGTGTCTGCCCCATAGCTGTTCCTCATCACTACTGTTTGTGTTTAGCCAGCCCATGGTGCATCATCTGTATTTCTGCATGGAGAGGCATGGAGCCCTTAAGTCTTTGAGACAAGGATGACCTTTCACTCTGGTAGCATAATGAGGTGTGTGAACAAGAGGCCCCTTTGTGCCATGTTTTTTCCAACTTTGTGCCCACTGAGGACTTCATTTACAATTGGTCTCCTAAAGATCTCTCTTAGCAGTCTGAACATCATGTTTTCTGAATTCTTATTGGCGGCCTCTGAATCCTCTCCTACTTCTTTGTTCCTTTTCTGAAGCAAGACTCCAAACTCTTGCCTAGTTCCCCAGAATGATCCTCAGCAGTCATTCATAAATCCATTGCAGAAAGAGACTGCCTTTCTGATAGCTGGCCTCAGACCACTGAGTGGGTTACCGTGTGGGTTATCATGAGTGGTGAGATCCAAGACGTGAATGCAGCATGCGATGGCTGGAAACTGCACGGAGGAAGTGCCCCTGTGGCAAATAATGTAGTAGCACTTAGAGAAGCAGTTATCTCACATAGAGCAGATTTCCTTTGCCCCACTCCTCTTTCAACCCATTGATTTCCAAGCCTTGTTTCCAAGCTTGCCATGTTTATTTTTTCAGTGGGCCACCTGCTTATTACCCAAGAGCGCTGTCAACTGATAACCCTGCCAATAAAAATGTTACAGCTGATGACACAGAAAGAACTTCTCTGAACCCAGAATCTTCTGCACAGAGATATTTCATTTCCCGTGTTGGGAAATACACCTACACCCCCAGGAATGCTTTTGAGCGGGAGCTTTACTTTGGTAAGGTACACATTACCTGGCACAAGGCCATTTCAAAAGTCAGTGACCAGTTTAGCAGTGGTTTGGTGCATGAAGTTTGCTCGTCACCCCAAAAGACTCTACTGTGTCCTGGGTTCTGTAAGACCTTATTTGCTAGTTTAAGTCCACACACAGAATGCAGAGATGATTTGGAACTGGAGACTTTGTACCCCTTCCTAGGTGATATTTTCGTACATGTTGTGGAATGATATCTCTTGTTACGAAATGGCTGGTAGACGCTCTTTCTCTCCTCATGAGCTGTGCAGTTCATGTCTCCTCTCTGTCCAGATTTAGTGACACATTTTGTACCAGCTGAAGGTTGCACTCATTTTCCTGTGATTTTGGATAGTCCAGGATAGTAATCACTGGGAAAATACAGAACAACATAGGTCTCAATTAAATATTCAGTAAGATTTCATATTTATTGCTGTTTTTAATCGGCTAGATGTTGTGGAGCTACCTATCACAAAATAAAATTTAAATTATTGAAAAATACATGAAGACTGAAGGAAGAACTTCTTAGAGAGTCTCCTTATTTCATCAGACTGCTGTCTGAAAGTGTCTATGGATCATGACTTCAGATAATAAGATCAGGGAGGCAGAAAAAGAACACAGAAAATGATCGCTGTTTCCTCTGTGTATTTACTGAATATGTCTGGTAGCATGTTATGAACAAAGGATATCATTTAGAAGTAGCCAGATGTGACTATAAAGCCAAAATATTTACAGGAAGGTCTGAGGTCAGTTTTAAGCAGCCTTTTGATGAGACATTTTCAGCTGGAATTCCAGGTGAATTTGCAAGGTGTATTTCCTGAGGGGGGGTCCCACAGGTTCTCTCTGCTCTCCCGTTGACTCCTGTGAACCTTTTCACCACCCCTCAGTCGTTTTAGAAGCCCCTTCCTGATGCAACTGTTTCACTGCATTCACAGTTATTAAGAGCAAAGAGTAATATGTGCGGATAAACTTTGCAGATCAGAGACCTCTTTTACAGAGAAGCTCTTCAAGTAGAATGTGTTCCTCCGTACGCAGGGACTGCAAGGATTGTTCATCAGGTGGATGAAGGGATGAAGGACTTTTTCATCCTGGAGAACCATGACCAATACTGCAAACATCTCCAGCAGCCCTTCCCAAGGCAACCTGAGTGCTGGGGTTGCAAGCCACAGAGGAGGGCAGGTGAGAGCCCTCAGTTCAGTTTGTATGATGTGGAGAACTTCCAAACCTTGCATGTCAGTAACTGCCTGCTTGACTCTGAAATGAGATTGACCTTATTCGGTTTCTGACTTGTTTGTAGGGAACAGTAGTTTGCAGCTAAGCTGCTGTTGCTGCTTCAGACTGATGTTGGAGGTGCTTGTATGACAGCAACCCTTTGCAGTGTCTTTCTACTCTTTTAGATTATGGTCAACATAGGCTACTGCTAATCTGTTTTAACAAACTCTTTTTGAGCAGCACAGAGACCCAAGAAAGGAGCCTTTCGATGGATTGCTCTCCCCACTTTAACTCCTTATTTTGTGCAAAGTGATGAGGAGTCACCTCCTACCAAGGCCAAGGAAGTACAAAAGGAGTTCAAGCAGCCTATTAAAGAAGTGTCTTGGGAAACACAAGTCCTCAGAGCTACACTGGAGCAGTGGAAGGATGCCTGGGACCTGCGTGAGTGGATTGTTGTATTAAAACCTTCTTGGTCAACAATGAGCTCAAATAGTTACTAGCAGCTCAGTGATTCTTGTGTAAAGAATTGACAATGTCAGACCTGTCCTCAAAAACACTGTTCTATTTCTGTTTTTTTACAAACAAGTAGTTGCTGTGATCCTAAGAGTAGAGTCCTAGAGGTGAACACCTTGAATCTCCTAGGTGTTTTCTTTTCTGGAAATATTTAATCACTTTGATAAGTTGGAGTGACTGGTAGATGGGTTTTCCCCACTTCTCTAACTGAGCCAATCCTGACACAGATGCAGCAGCATCTCTGGATGAGGGCAGCAAAGAAATACAGAGGGCAGCAAAGAAATACATTTATCCTTCTACTAAGTAGAGATTGTATGGTGGGGGTGGATGTGTTTCCCCAAGTCTAAACTTCCTGCCTTTGGCTGCTGTCCGCTCCTGCATTGCCTGGGCATGACTCATTTCTAGAACAGCACTGTGATTTACCTGAGGAAATAAAGAGAAGCTAAGCTCCTAGATAGGGCATAAAAGATGCTATCCTGGAGGCAGGGAAACATGGAAACAGGGAAAGAAGGACAACTGTGAATGATTTCTTTCCACTTCTGGTGAATCCATGCCAGGGAGCTCCTCCACATGAAAGAGATCTAGGGAAGATAGCCATGCTGATTATCATTTTCCTCAATATATTTTCCTCTCTGATGTCAGATCCCCAATGGCGAAATGCGACAAGAGAAGGTTTAAGGAAGTCTCTCACAAGTGTACATGACATCAGTAGAATCAAGGCTCTCATAGCTTGTGCATCTGCGGCAGTCGAACAACATGGATGGAAAACCAATCCTCAAAAGCTCAGTGAGAGAAGCTCTGACTTGCAGGCTGCTGATCTGCATGTGGGTATGAGAACTATTGATGACTGCTAGGAAACGTTATCCATGTGTGAAAAGCAGGGTGATTTCATGATACCTCATTATCAGCATAATTGCTCTACAAAATTGACCAATACTCCAAAAGCATGCTTTTCGATGCAGTGTTATAAAAACCATTTTAAAAATAAACACTCTAAATAAAGACTCTAATCCAAGGCAGTTCAGAAATAAAGGGAATCAAGTGAATTTAATTTCCACTCACTTCCTTCCTGATCTTATACACACTGCTGGTGAATGGAAGACCATGAGAGCAATGACTTCGTTGTTAGCTTAGTACGAATGGCTTTTTTTTAAAATAAGTTTTTCATAAGTTTTTTGTCCTGTGTGCTTTTAGCATCAAGTTTTCCTTGCTAACCTTTGTCTGTAAAATAAGTATAAGCATCATTTTTTACTTTGCCATGAGTTGCAAATTGGAATTTACTGATACTTGGTGAAATGTGAAGATCTTCAGTGCTTGTGAACATTAGAGATGAACAAAATAATGCTTTTGCAAGCATATTTGTATCATTATTATGTGTTCTTTACTCCGTTATTATTATCGTGAATTCAAGCATACCATTTAGCGGCTGCACGGAAAATATGCTCCTGTATCTATATAGAAAAGAAAAAAAAAAAGCATGGGGCAGATAACGTTGCTGTCTTATTCAGGTATTTCTCCAGCGGCAGTAACAGAGAGCTCTGAGAAGTGCTCAGTAACCCAGGAGGTGCTTGCAGAACTAGAGCCATTACTTAGTGAGGCTCTGCGGGACAAGAACACCCACGTGAGAACAGCATCTGCACTGTGTCACTACGCTCTTGGGAGAAGGAGTGAGGAAGCACAAGCAGTCATGAAAGATGCTCTGGAACATGGTAAAAGGGCTCTATGGAAGCTTCCCTGTCATGTTTACATTCCTTCTGGCTCTTCAGCTAGGTCAGAATCACCATTTTGGTGTCTTTGTCTCCTGGGAAGGCTATATATGTAGGCCTACTAGAACCAACCGTTACCAGTCCTGCTGGAGCCAGTTGCAAGCAGGGAAGGTCACTGGAAAATGTATGTGGATAACCATTCCCAGAGCTAGGTGTGCTACTCCTGGGTGTTTCCAGGTCTTCCAGCTCTGCCAAGACGGGCAGTGAAATGGATGTCTTCTGTAAAACTGCACTAGAGGGTGGGTTGTCTCAACGGGCACTTCACCAAATTCTAATAACTTTGATAGGCTGAGTCTCTGCAATTTAGCAATGCAACTGTCAATCTTGGTGTTCTTGATGTTTGCTCTTCTGAATGCGAAGGAAACAGTCAGGGTAGAGACTTCTATATTATATTATCTGCTTTCAGCAGGATTGCATCAAGTACGCAGAATTCAGCCAAAGCACTACGACTCTTTTTTGCCTGGATTAAATCTTGACTCCTACCTCCTATTTTGAGGTAGCAGGCACTCCAAACAAAATCCAAAGTCTCAGCTGGGGCTGAGCTCTGGACCTGAGTCACCACAGCATGTGACGTGGCCAGCAGCTACCTCCCTGGCAGTAACTTTCTTTCTCTGATCCCCTGGACAGGCAATTCTGCAGACAGCTGGGCAGCGGCGCAGTGCCTGGCTCTGGAGAGCACCGTCACCGTGCCCGTGGTGGCAAAACTCCTTTCCCAGCTCTTTGAGAAGAGCGATGCAACGGCCGAGGAGCAGGCCTGCCTGCTGCTAGCCCATCTCGGGGAGCGCACGGTAGGTGCAGCCCCTGGTGCACGGAGAGGAGCAACAAGAGGGGACAGAGGCACACAGCTTGCAGCAACCCTCCTCTCCGATCCTCAATGCCAAATTTGTCTCTGCATTTCTGTCCTGCACAAGGGGCATTTTTTGCGCTGAACGATGAGTCAAGCAAGGGCAGGACATATTTGGCAATGGTTTATCTCCAGTTTACCAAAAGCTTTACTTCAGATCTCTAGGTCATATGACAACCGAATGGCCCGGTTCAATTAGACTTCAAAACAGACATTAAAGGGCCACCAACTGTGGCTGGAGAGTTGCTTGGAGGTTGCAGGCAGATCAAGTGTTGCCTCTGGCTGTCTGTCCAGCATAGTTTGGGCGCACTGGCTTGCAAGGTGTAAAGGGGATCACGCCGGCCCTCATCCTAGAACCTCAGCCCTTGGCCTGTGGGCAGGGCCAGCAAGGCAGGCAGCCTGGCCAGGCACGGAGCTCTGCGGGACCCACGCTAACAGCGCTGTGCCCCCTTCCAGCCCCTGGTGCACTTCCTGCTG